GAATGTGGATAAGTTTGGAGGACCCTATATCACACAGCTCATGATTCTATGAAGTGCAAAATCCAATGTGTTGGTCATGGAGAAAGCCACGCTGGGCACAAAAATGCCGCCAAAAAGGTCCTTGACTCCTTTGTGTTAGGCTAGAGGTATCTCATCAAAATTTGTTTTGACGTCGTATATAAAAGAAGGTGACACTGAGCATGACCTAGATCATGCCAGGGTGGATTAGGTCCATAAGGGTCTCTAATTCCTCAACATTGAGGGTGGGGGCATCCACACCGAGGGCGAATTAGGTAGAGAAGTCCCACACCTTTTCACATTAGTCATGGACACCACTACTTTTAGCGTGAATATGGCATAGAGATTCATAATCTATCCACACTAGGTGGGAGTTTGACCTCAATGGGTATATAGTCATTTTCTTAATTAACTAGGTTTATACAGTAGTTTAGTATTGGAAGAACATGTGAAGAGTGATTATTTTTAGAATCAAAAGAAATGAATAAAGAAGTTAACAATTTGATAAAAGTGTTTGAAAAGAGAAAATTAAAGAAAGACTATAAGTGTATGAGGTTAAGTGAACAATATGATGTTATGTGTATGAATAATGAAAATATATAGTAGTGATTTATGTGTGAGATAGTGTTGATGAGGATGAGTATATGAGATGACATTGATGTGTAAGGAAATATTGTGATGCATGATATGATAAGTCATTATGATGTGATGTGGTGATGCGTTGAGCATGTAAGTCTAGGCTATGGATGACATTAATGAATCCAAGACTTGGTGTGTTGTGGAGAAGTCTTAGGACTACGGTTTGACAAGTATCACCTAATTGTCTTTGCATGTGTCATTTTCTATTGTTTTTCTTTGTGGAGTTCTTGTATTCATGTTATTTTGCAAGGTAGTGTGACTCTATGCAGGATGGTCTTGAAGGTCATCTACCTAGATCTTGGGGAGGTTATGGTAGGGAGCCTTTAACACAGGTGTTAGGTAGAGGTGGTCGACTCTAACATTTTGACTAAATATTGATAGACATCTTCTAGTTGAGAATGGATTGAGGGTATTACCAATTCGTGGTGATTCAATTCTATGGCTTCTAAGCTTCCTTGAGTTGGTAATGATGGGGAGATTGGTATCACATGCATATATGAGTCAAGTACATTCATTTTGACTTCTTAACTTTTTAATTGAGATATCTTGAGTGGGAGGAGTGATTTTTATAATGATAATGGTATATGATATGATTAGAATTTTCAATATGAACATGCATGTGTTAAGATGTTGAAGATGAATATACCTGCACAAATGATGCTAAAATATTATTGTATATTTAGTGAATACTATCCTATGCTTCATATGTGTTGCCTATGATTGTATTTGTGTGTTGGGGATGATCACCACTTACAATCTGATTAAGCACAAGAAGAAGGGTTTAACGAGAACAAAACTTAAAACTTCTTTAGTTACTTTGGGTCTTGCTCTAATAGTGTGATATTGGGGTGGAGAGTTCATAATTTTGCATTTATAGTTAAAATATGTTTTATAGCATTATACGAGTTATGTTAGAATTATGTAATGAGGTGGTTTGTGTCTTGTTTAAATTTTGTTTAAGATTATTCATGTTTTGGTTAAGAGTTTTATTATAATAGATTTGTGAATTCTTTTATTAATTAAATGAATTAAATTTAAATATGTTTTATAATGATTTTAATTTATATATCTTTTAAAAAAAAATTGTCAGTGTCTCAAAAACTATGTTAAAAAATCATCAGAATAACGTTATAAAAATCGGCTAATTAGTTTCCGAATATTAAAATTGGCTAATTAGTTTCCGGATGTTAACTTTTTTATCCACCCACCTAAAAACAACTGCCCAAACTCATTTACTGTTTGGAGATAACATAGCCATCGCCTATATCTTATTCATATATCCAATGTAGAACAATAATTGTTTAACTTATCCATGCATGCAATTATTCAATGTTGCAATAACTTACACCTTAAGTATTTGTTTTTTATTATACTTTTTTGAGCAACATTAAACCTCGAGTCGCTTAACAAAGTGATCAAGCATTCAAATACGTAGTGACATGATGTGGGAAAAATCTTGTTAGTGGTAGCTCAACTATTAGTGCTAAGAAATTTCTTGGGGATATTAAATTTTTTTTTTTTTTTTGTGACTGATTAGTTAAAATATTCATTTACAATCGTATCCGTAACGAAAAAAAAAATCATATCAAAACAGGGAAGGTTTTGGCCTCTTCAATTCTGCCGTGGTCAAGGTCGATTTTTGAGGATTAGGTTTATTGCATTCAATTTCATCTTCTGGATGGGTTGAAAACTCCCGAAAAAACTTGTTTCACTCCACTTACATAAATAATATATATATATATATAT